CAGCAGGAGGGAAGTGTTTGTTTTAACAATAGTATCTCTTACTCACTATGCCAAGTAATAATCTTGAAAATTATTATTGAGAACTAAAAAAAACCACCTCAACAGAAGACAAATCAAATCTTTTCCATTTACCTCTTCCCTCTGGTCAGGGGGAGCTTTTTTTCAAAACTAGTTGTCATTTGGTATTTGAGAGAGAGAAATATTAGTAAGTGTAAAGCATATGAAAAGTTTTTCAGGGAGGGGGAAGGGACTGCTTGTTTCTTTCAACTTTCTGTTCCCATAGAAAATACTTCACCCTCATTTATCACTAACTCCCCCTCTCCCTGCCCCAAATGCCATAATTGCAAGCAGTAATGGCTTTTATTAATTTTTAATAACAATAGCTACTAACCTCACATTAGTCTATCACTTTACTTCAAGCTACTCCCAAAATATTATCATGAACAATCGCAATACCCAAATCTGTCTAAATATAAAGGAGATGCACATGACCTTAGCAACCAAAAGACAGACAGTGAAGTGTCGCTGAAAGTATGTGAGCTACAATATCCAAGTTAAATTGAAAAACATGATTATCAAGAGGAATTGGGACACATTTAAATCTCTTGACATAACAGAAGATAACTACTCATTTGTGGCCACAGATGATATACCTTTGTGGTCAACTTGCTATTTTACAGCAAATGAGCAACCCTTGATAAATCCATACACATTTATTGTATATTAAGTGATGCCTTAAGGCAAAAAAGAAAAAAAAAGGGGGGAAAAAAAGAGAGTACTAGGCACGATCATTTCTGTTCCTTCCTGCCCACAAAACACACACAAGACTTGATGAGTACCGTGACTTTAAAACCACAAGAGAACCAATAGCAACTATCTCAGAATTCTATATGGCAGTAGGAAGACCTTCTGATTTTTGTAGTTCCAAATTCTACATTTGACTGCATAATTTTAAATCAGCATAAGAGAAGCCCCTGTACTAATGCACTGCTCGAGGAGGAGGAAATCTGATACAAATGTAGAAACTTAACAAAATCTTCAGTCTGTTATGGAGGACTAGTTCGATATACAAGAAATACTTCCCAAGGGATCTGAAGAGAAAGTTTGGGTTGCCCAAAGCCTCATCCAACCTGGCCTGAAACACTTCCAAGGAGGGGGCCTCCACAGCCTCTCTGGGCAACCTGTTCCAGGGCCTCACCACCCTCACCGTAAGGAATTTCTTCCTAACATTTAATGTAAACCTACCCTCTTTCAGTTTAAAGCCATTACCCCTTGTCCTGTCACTACACTCCCTGATAAACAGTCCCTCACCATCTTTCCTGTAGGCCCCCTTCAGGTACTGGAAGGCTCCTGCAAGGTCTGCCCCAGAGCCTTCTCTTCTCCAGGCTGAACAAGCCCAACTCTCTCAGCCTTTCTTCATAGGAGAGGTGCTCCAGCCCTCTGATCAGCTTCGTGGCCCTCCTCTGGACTCACTCCAAACTTCTCAGTATCTATGCTAACACATCATATTTATGTTGTATCTCAGGTAATTAAAAATATATCATGCAAACAAATCACACATAAAAGCCTATGAAGTGGCACATATGACTTCTGAAAATCAGGAAAATAAGGTAATTGTACTTGTGAATGGTCTGTGATCAAGTCTTCTATGAGATACGAGCAGCATACAGTTCTGTATCTTCCAGTGTGCTGCCTACACATTTATCGCTGCTTTCAATTTCCTGTACTGAGTTAGTTATATACAATGCAATGCATGAGGATGGGAAGGTCAAATCCATCTATCCAATCAATCTTAGCAATTAAAAAAATATTTTACATCAATGCATTGCTTGCTAAGGGCTATGTATATAGAAAGGAGGGGGAAAAGGATGAGGGGGCAAAAGAAAGGAAATTATATGGAAACATCTTGGGTAGAAATTGACACATCTTCTTCAGCCAAGATTCAGTCTCTTTGATGTTACTCCTTCTCAAAGATACTGCACAGTCTTACTGAACTATAAAACCTCTGATGACTCCCTATGGAGTGCTCTACCTGCCCCATGTAACAGTGTCAAATGACTGTTTGCTCCTCACCCTCTATTTTCCCTTAGTTTTCTGCAGATTTGAGTATGCTTCGGATTAAGAAATACTCCTGTACGAGAGATAAGCAGTAGAAAAAAGTCAAGCTCCCAGTATGCCCCTAAAATCCTCACCGATACAGTCATTAGACGGGCAATCCTGAATTCAGATTATAAAAATCAATGGAAACTGAGTCTAGAGAGCAGCTAATTAAGTATCCTAGCTCTACCTCTCATTTCATAACAGGAGAGTTGTAAAAACAAGAACTTTGGCATCCATTCAATAGCTTCTCTCATGTTTTTACTTGCTACCATGTCAGGCTTGCCATGTACACTGAGGTGTGCAGACATAGGTGTGACATTCTGAGTCCTTATAGGAAAACTACATCCATTAAAAACACAACATTCAATTCAAGCAAAGCATCAGGAAAGCATCCACACTGCATTCAGAAATCTGAAAGCAGCTACTGGCAGCTTTCATCTTCCGTATGTATCAGCAGATTACAGAAGAAAAATCTAAGAAATAAAAGGGCAATCTGGAAACAGGTAAATTTAGGAGGGGAAATATGCAGGTATGCACATCCTTTGCTATTTGTTTACCCATAGCTTTACAGCCTAGCGCACCTCCTGCAATATCACCAGTAACATAGTAAATACTGAATGCTACAAACTCACCACAACAGAAACTTTAGAACAAAACAAAAAAAAATCAAGCAAATTTACAAATAATATAGTGACTCATATCAACAAGTTGCATCTCAGTCCAATTCAGTACATTAACAAGAATCTACTACAGCTTTCTTTCCATTAGAGCCACCAAAGTTAAATAGGGAAGGATAGACAGCTACTTAACACATCAGTGAAGTGGCATTAGGTTCAAGCAAATGAGCTCTCCTTCCTCCTTTTCAAATGCTCTGGCACAGTTCTGGAAGGTTTTGCCTTGGTCTCATGTGACTAAATTACTCACCTTCCCCATCAGGGCTCATATTTTTGTAGGAGTCCCAGCGTATTAGTGGGTCTGAGGTATTGTAATCAACTATCACTCCGTGGTCATTCTGAAGGTGTTCACATCCTAAAAAATAAACATCTGTCTGAGACCAAAAATTATCACAGCTACATTTGTAATTATATCCACGCACATATGTATGAGGCCTTCTGACAGAAGTTTGCTCCCCAAACTGCAATACCATATTCTGAAATGTAAGAAGCAGCAAGAGGGGAAGAAAGGCTATATAAACCAGATAAAGCTTTATTTATGTTTCATTACAGAAGGTACAAGCAAAGAATTTTATCTTGAGCTTCTTGATTATGGTGTAGCTCTGACAACTTGGATCAGCCCCTAAACACAACTAACACACATGATCCATCCAGCTCTATAGGCAGGCACAATAAAATAGCTTTTCAGAATGAAACCACAAGTATCTATAAAGAGATGCTACTAAAGGAATGATAAAATAAGACTTCGTTACAGATTATCATTCTGATACCAGAGCAATTTATCACTAAAGATGAATAAGGAGAGCTGAAAAGTGCCACTCCATGTCCCCCCCAGTTCCCCCAAGGTGCCAACTATGGTGCTTCATCCATTCTGCAGCCTCCTGGCAGAACCTGAGATCGGGAGGGTTGCCTTCAGTGTGTTTGACTGTGCTTAAGTACTTTCTGCCAAACATACCTGGAATTTTCAGCAGTTACCCACATTTTTGTGCCCTTAACAAGGCATAAGATAACATTCAGCTTTTAAATGCATACTATGAGGAACACAGGTGTGGTCCAGTGATTCAAAAGCAAAGCACAGGCATTAAGAACTCATGACCTTGGACTTGGCTTTGACACTGATACAAATCAAATCAGTTTTCTGCCTTTGTTCCTCTATCTAGATTAGGGAACAAAGAAATCCTCAGTTATCAACTCTTCTGCTGTGCCTGGAGAAGTAAGTCCTATTGTAAATTGTTCTAAAAATGCAGAGTGTTATGCATATGCTGTGACTTTCAAAACAAGGCAAGTTAAAATTAGAAGGACAAGAATGATGTGGTCCTGTACCTTTATTTGCAGGCAGAAAAAAGCCATCTGTAGAGAGTTTCTGTGATGACGTTTGTCACAAGGCAGATTTATGAAGTTTGTTACCTAAATATTTAGGTGTCATCTTCTTGGCAAGTGCATTCTTTCTTAAAAACTGTATCACAGTCAGTTATTTTCTAGAATACTGTGTCCAGTTTTGAGCTACACAATACAAGAAAGATATGAATAAAGTGAAGCAAGTTCAGGGGAGGGCAACAAGGGTGGTCAGGACTGAAGGACTTGCCCTGTGAGGAAAGGCTGAGGGACATGGGCTTCTTCAGTCCAGAGATGAGATGGTCTTGGGGCGGACCTGACAGCAGCCCCCCCAAAGGCCATGGAGGAGACAGAGACAGGTGGGAGCAAGGCAGAAGGACAACAAGGGCAAAGTATAAATTGAATCCAGATAAGTTTAGAGTAAATATAAGGAAAACTAAATCCACTGTGAGGACAATCAGACATTGGAACAGTGCACCCACAGAGGTTGTGAAGTCTCCATCCTTGGAGATTTTCAAGATTTGACTGGACAAAGCTCTGGGCAACCTGGTCTGATCTCACAGATGACCCTGCTTTCATCAGGAGGATGGACTAGAGATACCCTGCAGTTATTCTATGATTCTATAATATTTCCAGATGTGGAAAAGTCATTTTGCAGAAATTGTAAGCAAGTATTTCAAGGTGAACTCTTCTTCCTAGGCATTTAATCCCTTAGATAGCAATTAAATACAAATTTCCAATTACTTAGAACCTTACTTTCCAATAACTTGGAGCCTGCTAAAAAAAACACCTCTGATTTGCCATCTAAGGGAGACTTTAAAAAATTTTGATCCTTTTTCAGACATATCAGCTGGCCTTTCTTCAAGCATTTACTATCCAGAAATGTTCAGAACAAGCTAGACAAATTTATTTATACAACTGTTTTTCTTATATGACTTTCCAAGAGGCTAAGTGTGATCTTCGTGTTCAGCTGGACAGAATCCAACTTCTTACTGGCTGCTACTTCAAACTTCTTAGTGGTTAAACCC